TTAAAAATAAAAATAATTATAATCCTAAAATTTAATTATATAAGAATCAGAATTTACTATTTTAATACTAATTAAATCTACGCAAAATAATTGAATTAAAAATAATGAATTAAGAAACAAAATTTCGATTATTTCTTTAATTAAATGCATTGCTTAAGAAATTCATTTTCCAATTATATTATAGAAAACAAAGATAGATAAGTAAATTATATACGCATTTAAAAATTATATACGCATATAAAATTTTTCATTAAAATAAATCCTTAATTTTCTTATACGTATATCCTTAACATATTCATATCCTTAATACTAAAACAATCTTATACTTAGAAAATTAATTGATAATTCCTTTATAACGTACAATATTATTAGATGTCCTTATAAATGCAACATGTTAAATATATATTATATGAACATACGTTAGTTTTGTGTTATAAAAGAATTTTATTCCAAATCAGAGAATTTCATTATTAAGAATTAAGTACTCCATGTTGTAATTCTTCATTTTTTTTCTTAACAGAACTTTAGTTTAAGATTAAAATCTAATTTATGTAAGTGAAGTGAAAATGATTTTTGTTTGAATTAAAATTGTTTATTTAAATTTAATACGATAATGTTGCATAAAACTATTCAATTATTTTAAAATTAAGAATTTTATGAAGTACAAAATGCATATATTATGAAAAATTGAAATCTGAGATTTGTATAAAAAAAATTATGAATTTGATTAGAAAGCTCATTCATTGTTAATTTTTAAAATCTATTATTTTTAAATAATTATTCAAATGAATTTTTTTAGCAAAATGAAATTAAATTTTAATTTTACATAAATATAATTTAATGACCATATAAACAAAATTAAAAAATTCAAAATGAATATTTGAATTACTCAAAGCGCTTACAAGAGATTAGCAAATTAACTGATTCAATTTATAAAACTTAAATTTCAAATTATAAAACTTCAAATTATAAAACTTATTATTGAAATATTCTCAATTTTAGATTTTCTTGTAGTCATTTTAAAGTCAATAAAATAAGTATCATGAAGTCAGTTTAAAATGAAATCATTTTATATAATTATAATTTAATAATACAAATACTTTCGGGTTCATATTCGTAACTTTATGTAGGTAATTAAAAAAATTTTTATTAAGAAAATGAAAAAGAGGATTCTATATAAATAACAAAATTGAGAGCACACCTACGTACATGTACACGAGCATATTGTAAATTGTTATGGCAATTATTTCAAAAAGTTTAACATAATTTTTTTTTTCTATTTATTTTCTCTTTAAATTTTCCAATCTTTATTTCATATTTTTTCACTTCAAATTTCTTTAAATGGGAAGATAGCCTTTCGCACAATTTCACTTTTCAGTATACAATTTATTTTTAAATCTGCAAATCTTCTAATCTCAAAAATTTTCTTATTTTTCTCATAGTCTGATTATTAACTTTTTTTTTTGTTTTATACACCAAGATTTAATCAGTTCAATTTAAGAACCAAAAAAAAAGAAATATCCTGTATAAGGATAAAATCGAATTGAGTATTAAAAGAATCGAAATAATAGGGAGAAAGTTGAAAATCCAGAATTATTGAAGTAAAATTTAATTGGAAAATGACCTGCTGTGTCCATCCAATTGTTTTTTTTTTCCTGATATATTATTACTTTCTTTGGAGGGAAAGCAATACTGTCGTAAAACAACAAAAAATTTCCAATTCGATTAAGGTGAGAAAATGAACATTGAAAATGAAATAAAAATGAGAAAACCAAATAAATTTTAGTTTATTTCAACCTTTATCAAATCCTTTTTTGTTTTTACAATAAAAACTAAAAACAAAAATGATAAAGTTAGAATAGCAATAATAAAAATATGGAGGCAAAGAAAAAAATAAACCAATTACCTTATTTAAGTTTTTTTTTTTCGATTTTCTTTTCCATTTTTCTAACTGAAATGAAGATAATCAGGGACTATACAGGAACTAAAAATACAAAAGAATTAGTAAACTACCAAAAATAAAATTTTATGGGTAAAAAAAAGGCCGAATATTGTTTATATGTACCAAACACTGTATAATAAAAATTTTCGGACCAAAGCACACCACATAAAAAATATTGTATGTTTGAATAGTAAAAATGGAACATATTTTATAATTTTATAGGATAGCAAAAACAAATAAAGAAAAATCAAAATCATAAACAAACAAAAAGAAAATGAAATATTTTTAACATTCAGGAATTGTATTTTTTTATTAACTATATTTGAAATGCATGAAAAATGTCCTTAAAATTATATACAATATAATTTGTACTGAATTAACTAATGAATAAATTGATGAGGTGGCAAGAAATATACACAAAAAATAAGAAAATATGTCGAAATATATTCAGGATTAATAATAGGACAGGAGAGAGCATGTTATTGAATTATTGCCCAAAATGAAAAAATGAAATTGATTTATTAGAGTTGTTGTTGGTTGACACATTGGTGGATTATTAAAATATTTAAGATAGAATTACGGTGGCCATATACGAATGGGGTGCTATTATATAAAGTTTTTAAATGTCGTTATATAAAATATCGGATGACAGTTTCGAACAATTTCAATAAATTTGTTATTATTAGTTTTAACAGACTTTCCAAATTTACTTCTTATAAATTCTTTTGTATAAATGAAATATATTCTAAAAATTCATTACAATCCTATGAATAGTGTAGTAAAGTAAATCTGTGTATTTACACAAGAATTTATAAATTTACATGATAATTATATATTCAAAGTATCCTTGAAATCATCATAATTACATAAGATATTAGATTTTCATTACCAACCGAATAATAATACAGTCCATAATTTGTATATAGATTCAATGTATATATAGATTCAATTATAGTCCATTCAATATGTATATAGAAAACATCTTAATTTTACCTTGAATAAGAAATAGAAAAAAATTTGAAATTACCTTGCAATTTCCGAAGGAATAAATATCTAAAAAATGTTATAGTATTTTTTGTCAATATACCCTATACTTAGATTGAATGATTTGTAAAACACTGTTGATTTATTTCTTAAAAATCACGCCTTACACTAAAATATTTGTAAATATTTAAAGATATTTTAAATTCTGGAGATTTGGGACCTTTTAAGATAGTATTGTAGCAATATAAGAATTGAAAAGTTATAACAAGCATGTGATTTCTATTATATGTTTTATTATTTAGTTTTATAAGTTATTCAATAACAGTGACAAGAAACAAAATTTTACATTATTTTAGTGATATTTTTTTAATTTTTATTGGTCTTTAAACTAATGCTCTAAAATTTATTTTAATTTAGGGTATAATAGCCACTACCTTTGGCATTTTTTTTATAATTTAATTTTATTTTCACCCTGAATCTTAGTATCATCCATGTTTTTTAACATCACAAGGGTATAATTACATGTTCATGCTAAACTACATTGAACAGTATTTAAATTATTTTAATTTAATTTTTATAAATGTTTTCATATTGTAAGGACATAGAAGTAGCTACATAGAAACGATGAACAGAGACATACTAAACGGTGGAAAAGATAAAAGTTTAAAAAAAAACTATTCAATTATATTTAAATTGAATGAAAATATCCTTGAATTCTTGTCCATGTTCATTCAATTCCATTCATAAAAGGAAGAAAAGAGGAATAACTCATGCTACAACTTGATATATTCATCCTTTTTTGTCAATTCATATCCTTCAATCTGTCATTTTATCTTTAATAATAATTTACAAATAACTAGTAACAGGTAACCTTGGTTTTATATACTTAATAATATATAAAGTAACACCATCATACTTGTATGCATATAAAAAAAATTACAATTTAAGTTATTTTTTTTTGTATTATTGAAGGGGATCGTACTCAATTTAGCGTCTTTTCAGTATAATAAAACAATTTGTAAGGTAGTTACTGAATAAAATTAAAAACCAGAAAGTTAATATATATTTTTTTCTCTCTTTTATTGTGTTCGCATCTCTTTCTTTAAATATTTTCACTAAAGTGATTATATATGAAAATTTTTATATTATTCAAAAAAAATAAGAAAAATATGTAGCAGAAACATCTTACGTAAGGAATTTTTCTATGCTTGGATTTGGTATAAATGAGAATTGTTTCATCGCAATTTAATTTTTTTTCTAAATAGTAGTGTCTGAATAGAAGTGATTCAAGTTAATGGTCTTAATAGTTAAAGTTATAAATCTTTATTCCAATGAAATATAAAAATTTATACTAGATGAGTAGATTAGAATAGGAATCTATTATAGTTAAGTAATTGAATTTGTCATTTGTGTTTCGTCAAGTAAATTGAATGTGCTTCCTTAGGTATTTCAATGTCAAAAATTCGGGCTTGACATGAATAATGTTATAATGTATGACAATTTCAAAAAATTAGCAATTATATATGGTACCATGTAGGCACGATAAACAAAAATTTTCTAGAAATTCAGAGAGAATAAAGGAAATCATCTAATCTTATTTTTAATTAAATTGCTCTTCTTCAATTGTATTTGATTGGACTATTTTAATACTGCACAAATCAAGGACTGCAATTTACTTTTGATTTTTAATAATAAAGTTGAATTAAGCAAAAAGTTAAAATCAAGGAATACCTTTTTTTCTCAAATTATTCCAGTGCAAAGATTTTTGTAAGAATTTTAAAATATTTATAATATGGAATAATCATTGACCCCTAATTGAATAATCTTTTTTTTTTTGGTCAATGATTCGAACACAAAGACAAAAGCACACACACAATATAATTGCTAGCGTATAGTATAGTTGATATGAAAATTGATAAGAAGAACAAAAAAAGAAAAACTAAATTATTTAATTAACTTCAATTGAAAATTTTCTCTCATTTAAAAAAGTAAATGGTTAATTTTATATACTCTCATAGTTGTTCGTTGTTCTTTAATATATTCAACAATTTTACAGTTAACTTTCTTAACTTACCGTTTAATTTTTTCTTTGTTTTATTTTCAATTTTCTTGTTTTTTTTCTTTTCCTGATTTTCCAGATCAACTTTAATTTTACTCTATGGTAAAATGGTCAGTAAATATTTCTTTTTCGTTCCACTAAATGTGAAAAACCAAACTGAGCACAAAAGTAAGTAACAAAAAGCAGAATTGTGAAACAAAAAAAATTTTCCACTGAGAATTTGTTTCCGTAACACCTGAAAAATTAAAGAAAATAAAAAAATCCTATGAAATATTTAACACAAACTGTATAAAAATGTGTGTACAATGCTTAAAGTGTACAATAAGGATTAAAGGATAAAAATAAAGAAATGAAAAGGAAAAATTGTTCAGATTATATCGAAGCTTAATTTTTTTTTGTATTAATAGCGGTATAAAGAGTTATGTAAAAGGATTTTTTTTTATTTTTTTGTTCTGTATATAATAAAAATTTTCATTAATTATTGTTAAAATGGTAAATTATAATTGAAATTCTTGAAGATTAATGTATTTTAAGTTTACATTAAATTAAAATATGTTGGTGTTTAACGTTAATAAAGTTTTATATATAGAAATAATCCTTAAAATATAAAAGATCAAAAGAATCTAGTCAAATGTTAAGAATTGTTGTAACAATTAATAGGCTATAGTAATTTATTGGTTGAATAAATTCTTGTACAATTATAATCTTTTCAACACATTGGCGTTTGTGGATCAAACTTTAATAGAACTTTAAGTAGAATAGTAATCGGTTTGCTTCAAAATGCGAGTCAGTCTTGTAGTAGTCTATGAATGCAAATCTAGTTTCTACAATAATTTTTTGTTTTAAATTAGCTTTAGTAAAGTAAGCTCAAAATTAAAGAAATTTTGATAGCTCAGGATATGACCATAGGGCGTAGATAAACTGAAATATCCATGATATTTAAAAAATTTTACTACTTTTTTTTATATTAATCAAGATAATTTAAGTGAAAAAGCAAAACCGATAAATATCGTAAGCTTCTTTTGAAATTAATTTGAATTATAAAAATTTTAATCGTTTTACAATTTATTTCAATATAAAATTTATAACGAAAATCTTTAAATACAGGCATTCAATTTTATATGTAATCCACATGCTTTCTGAATTTGGAATGTATATTTATTTTAATGGTGGAAGTTTTTAATTTAATTTAATTACAAATATTTTTCTTTTTAATACAAATTTATCGTTTATTATTGTAAAAGGAAAATTGTTTTTTTTTTTTTTTTCAATAAAAATTGTCCATTAATTAAGATTTTTCAATTTTATTTTTTAATGGTACAACATAATGGCACCAAATGTATGTAGAGAAAGAATTCAAAGCAATTTTCAAAAGGAAAATTATTTCTCATTCCAGCATTTTTCTTAAATGAGTTTAAAAAGGAAAACTTTGCTATATTTATGTGAGTTTATTTAAAAATATCTAAAACTTTGTGAATCTCAGAATAGAAACACTTTTTGTTTTGTCATAAAATTAATTTAAATTGAATATATTGTAGAATATGCCAGGAATTTTCTAACAAATAAATAAAATTTTTTGTTTTAAGATTGTATTATTCTAAAGAAATATCAAAAAATTTAATGTTAGCTGTATAGAAATAAATGTTAGGAGGCCTTATTGAGTTTTGTTTAAAATTATAATGCAACTAAAAGACCATCAAGAGTTTTCAGTGTTACTTAAAACTCTCTTGAAAATGTAATAAGAAAATTGCTTTAAAATATACATTTTTTTATGTCCTTACATTTAAAAGGGGGTATCAGGTGTTTTTAACAAAATTCAGTAACATTTATTGTGTACAATAAAGATGCCAAAGAATTTGAAATAGAATTAAGTCGAGCAATGGAATTTAATGGAATGGGAATGGAGGAGAATCTGTAAAAAAAACAAAACCAATATTCTTATACCGAAATTTCCGGATTTTTATATTGAAATTCTTAAATTTTATTGCAATGAGAACCTAGTGGTCCCATGAAATTTAATAATTATAATAAAAAAAAAAGTTGCTAATATTAGCTGGCGTTATTTTTTTTTTTTTTTTGCGAAACTCCAAATATAATTCTATTTCTTTTATAGTTTTTTATTCTAAAATTCTTAAAATTTAATTTCTATTCCTATAACTACTCAACTTTCTATAAGTGTATAAGAATAAACCTTTGAAAAATTTTCCACCATTATTTATTACAATAATTTCTACTATATAATCAATTTCGAAATTATTAAAATAATAAAAAGTACATTGAATAATATACTTGTAAAATAAGAATAGCAAGTACGATCATTAATGTGTCATAATAAAATCCTTAAGCCGTACTTAAGTTGGAGACTTGTTTTTTATGTATTGAAAAATTAGGTCAAGAGCAAATTTTTTAATATTATACAATGATTGACATTTAGAATAATGATTGGACGACAATTTACAATATAAATGATATAATTACTTTACTTGAAGCTAAATGTTATCCTTATAAACATATACATATACAAATAAATATGATAAAAAGTGAAGATGTGATTGAATTTTTTCTTAAAATAAAACAAAATAAATGACAATTTTTTTATTATTTTCGTATATATGTAATAAAAAATGGAATAGAAGATATAAAATGAAGAATTTATTAAAAAGAGAATTCGAGGATAATGACTCTCTTATAAAAGAAGAAAAAAAGTTCTGACTTGCTTTAAGTTAATTTCCAAACAAGAGCAAAAACAGCAAACAAAAATATTCAAATGACGGTAATGACTAAAAAAAAATCAATTTATTATTATTTTTTGGCCCCCTTATCTTTAGATTTAAAAACAATACGGTTTTATTTTTTTTTATTCTGTCATAAATTATCCTCGTGCCTATGTCTATACAATTTTTTTTTTGTATTAATGGTACAAGGTTTATACATATGAACATTTATAAAAAAAAATATATTATTATTATAAAGCTTTTCCAATCTGAATTTTTTCTAATATTTTAACTGTCGTTTTAGTTTCTTTGTGAGCATTAGAATATATTTATTGTTTCGCTTATAACACTTAAAATATTTATTTTAATTGCTATAACTTGCATACATTTTGAATCAGCACATTTAGTAAAAATTTTGTTAGAAATTTTAATCACAGTAAAATATTGTGAGCATTTAAATGCATCTCTAAAACAAAAAAATTGAATTATGAGCAAATTGTATAAAGCGGTTATCCAAAAAAAAAACATTAGAACTGAATTTACTCGCAGTTACACACAGTATTTTTGAGATGCAGTGAGACTGGTTGTTAGTTAGACCTATTGTTTCTAGTGACTAAGCACAAGAGATAGTTCTTAAAGTACTATCCCCGTCCCCCAGACATATCTTCTCAATATCATCCCTAGTGGCGGCCAGTTTTTCACAATTCTGCTACCAAGATGAAGTTACTCCGAAATTCTCTTCTTTAGTGCATCAAAATTTTAAATTCTAACAGCAAATGTTTCGAAGCCTTCCCCCTTCCCTAAACTTTATATTTTTTCCATGAAATCTGATTAGTTATTAATTTTTCCCAAGATAGCAAATATCCCGTATCTTATTATTGTTTAGTAACCCAAATTTTTATTTGTTTTTTTGATTTCTCGCTAAATATTCACATTTATTTTATAAATAAATTTTTTAAATTTGTTTTTGTTTTGAAAATAAAATTTTGATTTCAGTAATAAATCAAAAAATAAATTTTGATTTGGGAGGCGAAGGAGAAAAAAAATATTTTTTTAATTTTTTTTTTTTCTAAATATGCCGCGTGCCGTTCGAGTATAATTCTCAACAATCAAGTTTATTTAGAGACAAAAATTTTTTTTTTTAAATCCGATTGGAGATTTTATATACCACAAAATCTTTTCATTTCATCTTTAATTCCTTCTAAAACAACAAAAAGTGAAAAGAAAAACGATGAAAATGTTATTTGTTAAATTCTTTTTATAACAGGGAGCAATTGAAAATCCTTCTAACAGAAAGCGAAAAAGAAAATTAGAAAATCGTTTGAAAAACGAATTTATAACAAAAATCTGGTCTACTAACCCTATAAATTCGATAAATTTATTATTTGTTCGGAATAATTCAGAAATATTAGAACACATCAACAAAAAAAAAAAAAACCGAATTTTAAATTGAATAAAAAATCGAAATGGCTTTCCAATTTTTATATAAAATTGCCCCATTTAAAGATTTAAAGGAACAACTGTATAGCTAATCAACTCTGTAATAGTGAGCATAAGCTATGTATCGATATAAAAAGTGAAGTAGGTTGGCTTGAAACAGTATATAATGTTAATGAGTTACTATAAGGCTTTTAAATTAAGAATGAAAGAATTAAAATGGTTTTAGTAAACAACTTAAAATTAAAATTATTTTTTTAGTTTTATTAAGTAAAAATTTAAATTTTAGTTTTTTTAGCATATTTTTTTTATCCTTTTTTATATCATATCATTAATTAATCGCATTTAAATTCTTGTTTTTCTTCTAGGGGTCGTTATAAAGCAAGAAAGTACTCTCTTGCAATTTATGGAAAATAATAAGAACATTGTTTTTGGTTTTACGAAGAAGCAAATATTTGCAATTGAGTTATTGCGGTACAATTTAACAAAGGAATTGAGTATTGAAGGCGCGCCAGAAAGAGACATATCTTGTTGGGAAAAAGTTTGCAATAAGAAATGCGTCCAGATGGGGAAAATAAAAGTAGCTATCATGAATGAAATGGATAAAGTTTCCGATTTGCATTCCAATTTACTCCATCGTCGCCAAGGAATGGACGCATAATCGTCTTATGCAACAATCGAAACACCAGGGATTGGAGTGCCATTGTCAGTAGTAAAATAAAACCTAGAGATGAATGTGAGATAGCTGCGTTATATGGCAACAATATTCCCAAAAAAGTCATCTTAAGGAGCTCATTTTAAAGCTGGGATTTTCCCCAGCGGAACGGAAACAAGGAAGGCCAAAAGGAAAAACGCCCCATGGGGGGCCTTCTCTAAAGGGTAAAAGCCCACAGACAAAAGCATCCTGTTTAGTTAAAGACTAATATATCTTTTTATTCCAGCTTACTACTTAATCGATAAGGTAGCTGCATTCGTGAAGATGAAGTCCCCAGGCGGCTGGTCAGAGTTTGTCGTATGCTCATACTACACCTCGTGAGATTTTGCTAATCCAGACGAACAATTGAAGGATTTATTGGACTACTG